CCACCCCCGCCTGCCGCTCTGCTCCCCAGCCCCCGCCGCTTATTTTTACTGCCCCCGCCCCGCGCCGTCCCGCTCTGTACAGTGCTCGGGGTGTAGTTTTGTATGGACCATGCGATACGGAATAAAGTCATGCTGGGCTGCAGCGCCTTCGTCCCCCCGGTGTCCCCCAACTCCCCTGGGTCCTGCGGCCGCACGCCAGCCCCATCCCCGGGGTCCTGCACCCGGGACGGCAGTGGGGATGGGGAAGGGGGGGTGGGAATCGTGGCTCAGCACAGGGCATGGGGCAGTGGGAACGGCAGCGCCGCGGAGCTGAGGGGTGTGGGGGCTGCCAGGGGTCCCGGCGTCACCGGCTGCGGTGGCCTTGTGCCGGCAGGGCTGTGCAGAGACCCCCCCAGAGCTGCACCCGTGGGTGAAACCCTGCAGGGAGAGGGAAGGACAGGTGCCGATGCTCCAGGGCGTGCGGGCACGCGTGTGCACATCAAACCCTCGTCAAAACCCTTTCTAGCCTCGCCGATCCCCAACATTTCGCATTTTTCCTGCCTTTCCCCAAAACTCGTGGGCAGCAGGCTGTGGCCAAGCCCTCCCCGGGGCACGGAGCCTGTGTCCCCACACCCCTCCGCAAACCATTTCACCAGTCACACACAAACGGAGGGCATCGGCAGCAGCGCAGGCAGCCTCCCGCGTGTCCTGCCTTCACTTAAACCAGCTGAACCCCCCCAGCTCCTGCCCGCTGTCACCGAACCGGTCCCAGGTCCCCCCTACCCTCGATTTGGGTCTGTAAACCCGACGTGGGCTGCAGCCAGAGGAGGAGGCAGGGTGTGCGGGGCCGGAGCTCCCTGGGGACCCTGGACACTCCCTGGGGACCCTGCCCGCTGCCCAGGGGACCACAAGTGCTGGCCCCGAGCTGTGCCCGCTGCCCCAGAACCACGCAGGCAGCCGAGGCACGGACAACACAGCCCGAGGCTGCGGGTCCTGGTCCCCTCAGCCCTGGTCCCAGGGTGCTGGGCTCCCCGAAATGAGTGGGGTGAAGCTCGGTGCTGAGCCTGGGGTCGTTTGCCCC